CAGAGCCTTTGGAGAAAGTAGAGGACTTACAAATCCAAAACCAGCATTCTTGTAGGTCGGACCAACAATAGTGTACTTCCCACAGTACTTTGAAAGGAAGATCCTGAGAAAGGGTAGCTCATCCACAATAGCAGCAACTCCCTCATCCTTACTTCCTCTTGTAAGTGCTTCGTCATACTCTTCTAATGTGGTATAATTCCTAATCTTTGTTCTATCAAACCTCATGCCATCCAACAAACCAGAAACGTACGAACCGTCCTGGAATCCAACATACTCCCTGTTCTTGATCAGATCTTTGAGATCTGTGACAGTGGGCTGCAACTGTTGTACTGTTAACATAGACGTTAAGCTTGCCGTGTAGCTAGAGGTCAGAACCAGAACAACAAACACCCATACTATGATCACGAATCTTGATAAATTGCTTATCACCCTCTCCTCTGCAACAACAAACATCACAGTAAAATCCCATAAAAGTAGGGTCTAGTGGGTGAGTTATTAAGACTTTACCCCCATTGGAAGTAGAGCAATAGAGTAAACAATCTTTGAGGAACACAAAATGACACTGTTTGACAAAGAAGAAGAAATGTGTGGTGTGATACTATGTATGCAGTATCGAACTTGGTTTTGGACTTACTGTGTGCAAAGACAAGAGTTGAGAAGGAGAACCAGAAGATCATCCCAACTTGCTTGTAGCGCGGACCTTGGAACTCTTTGTTGACTTGGTGTTCGAGTACCCAAATTGTGATGCCAATGAAGACAAAGGACATCGCAATCGTCACCCAAAGTTCTTTCCTTAGAGGTTTCAAGAAAATCCACGCCTTCTTCTTGTCGGCATGTTTGACTGGGACGACAGTAGTGACCCCAGACTCTATAAATGGCAAGGTGAAATCCACAAGTTTGGACCGGTTCGCTAAAATGGTGATGTCGCCTACCACGGCATCATATCTCTGTCAAAACACCAACAATTGTAAGAAGGGCATTAAAAATGAGGCTGACATTGGAACAATCAAATGCTATACTAGTATGAAAGATTCAGTATTACCTCTAAATAGACCTGGTCAACTAAGTCATCATAGTTTGGACGATTTTCACCTCGGGGGATATGGAAAGCTTCGTATTCGAAAGGTACATAATAAGGCATGGATTTCATCACTTCTTCAAAGACTTCTATGCAGAAACCGGTTGCGTTTACTACTTTTTTTGTTTGAGGATCAATTGTGACCTTCACAAATTGCTCAAACCCTTGTTTAACAGGAACTCCAACCTTGAGCTTTGGTTTGCCTGTGGGGATCTCCCAGCCTTTGGGAACAACTGTAGAGTCACCAGGCCATATGATCGCCCCAAGATCTTGTTGTTTAGCAGAGTAAAGAAGTGTGACGTTTGGGTTTAGTTTCTTGGAAATCCCATATTTTTCTGTCCAGAATCCTATGCCTTTAACTCCACCACCTACCACATTCACTATCTCAAAAGCAGATGGTTGCATTTCTCCATCAACAATATGGAAGTATCCACTCACTCCTCTGAATTTGATGTTCCTTACTGATTCAAGTATCGCAGGCCCCATTTGGGAAGTCCCTAGTGCCTCCAAATCTGTCAGATTCTTCTGGTTAAACGTCCTGTTGAATTGCAGACTTGAGTTCCCTACTTGCTCAAGAGCTGTTGCTAGTGCCATGGCACTGTCATATGCCCATAGCCCAAATACATTGAGTTCCACTCCATCCATGTCTGGATTCTCTTTGCGAAACTCCTTTGATTTCCATCGCTTGGTGAAGTTCTTCAGCTCGACTGAACTTGGGACATAGGGTTTCACCCCTATAACCCCACGCAACGAGTCAAGAACCGAAGGATTCATGGAAACAGAAAGAGTGGCGAATTCATCTGTGATTATCCATACATATCCACTGCTCAACATTCCAGCTTCTTTCACCTTGACAAAAAAATGAGGAGCTAAAGCCGGATGCAAGTGAACTATGAAGACACGCGTCCTCTTCTTCTTTATCTTTGCTAGCTCCAACATGATCTGGTCATCATTTGCCCGTGGCGAAAGGATTCTTTGATCTGCTACTGAAACACTGATATCCATCAGCGCATCAGTCAAATGAGGAAGAATTCCACCACCAAGGTTGCTGTTTTCATAGATGATTACAACTTCCCTCCAACCAAAGGCCTCCACAATTGCAGCGATTGCCTTGGACTGCGCACAGGAGCAGTACGCTGCTCTGATGAAGTATGGGTTTTGGCTGGAAGAAAGAGCTGAACTTCTGGCTGGAGAAATAATAGGGACTTTCACTCTCTTGCCTATGTCAGCTATGAAATCAGCTTGTGTGGACCCCTGAGGGCCTAAGATTGCCTGAACTTCAACATTCTTCAGCAGGTCTATGGCTGCAAACATAATGGGCATCATAAATCATGTCAAGATTCAAACTTTTTATGGCTCAGCAAACAATAAAGCTTGAAACCTTTTCAGGAACTCATTTATGTTACCAGCAGAAGCAGCCGTGACATCATCGGATTTGGAGTTTCTGTAGTGAGGGACAACCTGGGTGACACGGTTCCAGTTGGCATGGAAATCGGATAGAGCCAGCGCCGTACACACATTCATCATCTTCCCAGATATGGTGTCCCCATCAAGAATGACACCAACATGAACCCTGACAGCTCCAGCTTTCTTGGAGAATGCAATGAAAGATCCTCCAAACATTATTGTTGTTGTGAAGAGAATGAAAAAGACTATTTTAGAAACCTCCCTTTGGGAAAGGCATGAAAGATTCATTTTACAGTGCCCAGAAAGCTGACACCACAAGAGCCAGAGATTCTTCATGTATTTAATGAGCTCTGGGTTCTTGGGAAATTCTACATAGCTAGTTTGAGAACAAGTCATTTGCAGTAATTTGATGTTTGACCAAATCAAAGAGAGACTTTTATTCATCTCCATTTTTGTGTTTTCTGGAGTAGTTGACCCTTGGTCATCTTTGACAAGAGGGACAGGGACGGTGCATATTGTCTCGGAGCCTTATATGCTTTTCTATAGATGAGGCTAATATCATGGTTCGTTTACATTTAACTAGTTACACTTTGTTATCAAAGATATTAATAATAATTTAAGATTTGCTCTCAATAATTAGACCTGGCAAAACTGACCTGGACCCGATAACCCGAACTAAATAATCCGAAACCGACCCCGAATTGACCCGAAAACTGAAGAACCGAAATAAAACCGAACATCCGAAATGATCCGAACCGAACCGAATGTATTCAGACCCGATTTAGATCCGAATCCGACTTAACCCAAATTGATTAAATCTGAACCGATTAAACCCGAAACCGATTAAACTCGGAACCGGTTAGACTTGAAACCGATTAGACCCGAAATTGATCAAATTTATTAATATTCAATTATGTAAGTGTTATTTTTTATGTGCGTCCGTGTTAAATAATAAAATAACTATGAAGTATATCATAAATTGACTAAATTTATTATGCGATACAAACCTAAATCGATACAAATCCGAATTGATATAAACTCGAATCGATACAAACCCGAACCGATACAAACCCGAACCGATATAAACCCGATCTGATACAAACCCGAACTGGAATCGAAACCAAACCGAAAACCAATCAAACCGAAATAAACCCAGAACCAAACTGACCCGACCCGAACCGACCTGAATGAATTATAACATATATCCGAAAGAGACCCGAACCGAAAAGACTCGAACCGGAACCGAACCGATTGACCCGATTGCCAGGTCTATCAATAATAACAATAATTTAAGATTTGAGTTGTGATTGATAGCTATATACACAAAAGTTTTCTTTCTTTAAAAAAAATGGGTCCTCAATTTTTGGAGCCTTGTGCAGTTGAACATGTCTGACGTGCTAGAGCCACCCGTGAAGGGAGTTAACATCTAACAGAATAGAAGGGTATAATTGGAAAAAATTATGTTCGGGGACTATTGATGCAATATTAAATATTCAAGGATTGTTAGTGCAATTCTTAAATTTTAAGGAAAACTCGTACATTTTTAGAGAATTCAGGAGTAAGTACTGTAAAAAAAACTTTCAAAAAATTAGTGGGTTGTTTTTAATATTGTCTCACTAAAGTTTCAAATTTAAGATGCTAAATGTGTACACCAATTAAGCATTACAATAAGTTGTTTGAGTTATTTTGTAATAAAATATAGCAATGAGAAAACTTGTAGAGAATGTAAACGACAAGGTAACTAAAGAACGATTTTAACACGTTGGATAAAAATAAGGAAACATTTGATTTGAATGTTGTTGATATTTTCTAGCCTATTGCTTTAACTCACAGCCATTGGATGAATAAGAAACTCCATATTCAACATGTTATGACATGGAGTGAGGCTCTCGTGAGACAACATCAAACTGTATTAAGCGTAAGACACCAATGACTAATGTATACGAGCATACAAATGTACGGATAGAAGAATGACTTTATCTTTAATGTTTTGTTATACCATTAAGCATATGATTAATGCATTTATCTTTATGATATGCCTTTTTAGTTTGCGTTCATAAAATCTTCTTTTTATTTTTTGGTCAAATTTTTAAATTTTTGCCTACAAATTATGAAAAAGCATATCTTGTTTTGAGTTATATGTAAATTAAAAATGTTTGGGCTAGTCTTAACATGTACTCCGGAGACTCTAATATAAAAACATTTTTCCCCAGCCTGAAGTATTTTTCGTACATCAAATTTTTATAATAATTACTTAAAAATAATATTTACTTAATTAACTAAATTGAAAATAATTTAACACTTTTAGTAATATTTACATTTTTAGTATTTTTAATAATAATAAATCTGTTATATATAAAAAATATACCAAATAATGATTCTTGTACATTTTTAAATGTTTGCAGATTATTAAACAAATTATTGAATTTTTTTTTAAAGAAAACATTGTCCAAGGTAATGCAAATCTACAAAAACACTATATTTTCATTCAACCAAACAAACCTATGGAAGTTTAATTTATGTCACCACTTCTCTCCATTTCCTTCTTTTCTCGGTCCAAAAGGTGGAATCGCCCACCCCAGGCGCCCCCACCCCCTTGCCCGACAAGAATGATGGAGGAAGTAAATCATGGTGACTCAGTCGGCCAAGAACGCTAAACCCGTGCCCACCGCCATTTCCTTCTTTTCTCCACTTTACCAAACATAGCCTAAAGAAAAAGAAAGAAAAATTGTGCGAATATCTAAATTGGCCACGCCAAAAAATAGCCGTTGAATTGCGTGTACAAACCTCAAAGATTCCCTTCAAGAAAAAAACAAACCGTTGTTTCAAAATTCAAAACCCTAAAATCTTCAATCAAGAGTTCAGAGATCAGAGAGACAACAATGGCGATGGATGAGGAATCGAAGAAGAGCCCGGACGTCAAGAAATCTGAAAATGCAAACCCTTTGTTCAGCCCGGGGTTCCGGTCAGTGGCGGAGATGGCCGGCTGGGATGAAGAGACGCTTCTGATCGCGTCTCTTGTGGTGGAAGAGACTCCCGATCGGAACCCTAAGCAGCGCAGACGCAGTCTCATCAAAAATTCCGGCACACCGCCGCCGGCAAATTCAAGGAGGAAAAGGGCCAAGGCTCAGACCTCCTCTCCTATGCCTGTCACCGTTCTTAACCTGGACGAAGCCGAATGCCAGAAATTAGCCATGGATTCGGAGCTTTCTGGAGGTAATAATGAAATTGGTGAACCTAGTAAGGCAAAGAAATTCAGTGATCTCCCATCATCTTCATCGTCTTCTTCTTCGTCCGGAATTCGTTCAGCAGAGCCTCCACCAGCAATCCCCTGCATTGAGAAGCTTCGTGAAGAACTTTCTTGTGCTGTAAGTAGCCGGCCAATCCTATCTAGTTTTCACATGCTCTTTTAGAACCCATAAATTGGCCATAATGGATGGGTTTCTGCAATCTTAACATGTGAATTTTGCAGATTTGTTTGGAGGTTTGTTTCGAACCGAGTACCACTCCTTGTGGACACAGGTATGACTGATCTGAAATTATAAAGTTGTCATTTTTACTTGAAATTGAGTTTCTTTTATATGAACTTGTTTCCAATTGTGTACAGTTTTTGTAAAAAGTGTTTGCGATCTGCTGCTGATAAATGTGGGAAGAAATGCCCAAAGTGCAGGCAGCTTATCAGGTACTTCTTCTTTAAAGAATTAAGTTTATGAATATCATTATCTTCAATCCAAATTCATGCTGTTATTTGGCCTTAACAACAGCAATGCAAGATCTTGCACTGTGAATACTGTTCTCTGGAACACAATTCAGTTGCTATTTCCAGAAGAAGTCGAAGCAAGGAAGAAGGCAGCCGCCATTGCCAAAGATGCCCGGGAACAGACTCCAGCAGAAAAGAATCATCACCATCATCATCATCATCATCATCATCATCATATTAGTAGAAACAGAAGAGTCCCGGTCCTAATAAATAGCCCGGAAAGAATGAACCCCCGCGGTGGTGGTGCACAAAGAAGGAATTTTGGGCTTAATGGTGTGGTGGCATCAAGAAGAGGAAGTGAGTTTATCAGTGTTGCAAGGCCAAGAAGAGGTCAGGTGGAGGAGGAAGATGATGCTGCATTGGCATTGAGATTGCAAAGAGAGGAGTTTATGGGAATGGGTTCCAACAATGGCAACCAACAACAACAACAACACAGGAGGAACTCGCTTGCATTGGCCAGGGAAAATTTGAGAGCAATGGCATCAAGAGCCATTAATATTCGTCGGCGAACATAAACTGATGTTGCAAGAAAGTACTCCGTGCATATGTGTCGTTTGTTTTGTAGCACATTCGAACAAGGGTGTAACTTTTAAAGAAAGATATAAATGTGATCGTTATCAGGTCCTTTTTGTGGGTTACAATTGCCTGTATATTTCACTCATCATCTGAGAAAAATGCTAGTTACAGAAACAGCATTTTGCATTCATTTGAATTTCGTGCTGGTTTGTGGATAAAGTTCTGCAGGCACTCTGTGTCACTGGTGAGGAAGAAACTACACCTTAGAATTCATTTGGCTTCTGAAACTCCCTAAATGTCTGTCCTTTTTTCACAAAAAAGCAATTGCTAATGCAGAAATCTTTTGCAAAACTGGAGTATGAGAGTGCACTAACCAAATATCTAAATGAGTCATAAATATTGAGAATTTGAGATTGGTTTACATTAAAAAATACTCCCTCCGTCCCAAAATCAGTTTTTCGTTCTTTTTTGGTTGTCTCAAAATCAAACTTTCGTTTTCGGCATTCACCTTTTATTTCTTTGAAATGAGAATACATTTTTACCATCAACAGCTTATTCAATTACTACCTACTTCACTTTCATCAAACCCAAAAATAACCCAACTTCATCTTCTTCATTTTATCATACGCTCCGCATGATGTCGGATGACTATACCTCAAGAATGCTATATCATCAAAACACCTACGCAACCATCAATCAATCGGACTAGCATGACAATGAGATAGCAAAATCAATACTAACTGGTCTTAGACTTAGACCATTTACTAAAAATCTCTATTGCACATCAAAGCATGTCTTTTAAGATCCATACATCATTTTCAGCAACCCGAAATAGATCGAACTAATAGCTACTAGTGAAGATGATACCTTCTAATCCATCAAGTAGTCGTTAGGGATGGGTTGGGTGACTTGAGTCAAGCATAGCCTTAGACCGAGCAGAGTAGGAGCGAGTTAGTAGCTTCACTACATCTCTCATTGTTGGTCTTCTCTTCCTGTCCTTCTCTGCACACCTCAATCCCAGCAAAAGCACTTCAGTCACTTGTTCCATGGCACTCGAATCTATCAGTTCATCCCTCAGTCTCTGATCAACTATCTCCCGAATATCTTCCCTTTCACTCCAAACAGATCTGACCCAACCAACAATGTCCGTTTCTCCATGGAAGCAAGGATCCAAGGCCTTCTTACGAGTTATTAATTCCAATAGAACAACCCCGTAGCTGTAGACGTCCGCTTCTCTGCTCTTCACAGTTGTGAATGCATTTTCTGTAAACAACAAAACAACTGTGTTAGAAATTTCTCATTTTGTCGACGTGTTTTGCACTATCATCTCAATGTGTGACATTCTTGACAATGGGTCATTAAAAAAAAGATTACCTGGAGCCATATAGCCGAGTGTCCCTTGAATGGTTTTGGATGGCACCGAAGCAGTGGACTGATCCAGAAGCTTGGCAATGCCAAAATCTGAAATATGGGGCTCAAGATCAGAATCCAACAGTATATTCATGGGTTTGATATCTCGATGCACAATGGGAGGATCGCAGTCAAAATGAAGATATGCAAGTCCTTGAGCAATTCCTACTGCTATCTTATAACGTTTTCCCCACTCTAATGTCTGGGGTGGACTTCTCTCATGGAGCACATCATGAAGACTACCATTTTCCATGTAAGTGTATAGAATCAACCCGTACTCCTTTCTCAGCCAGAAGTCTTCTAGCTTGATAAGATTCCGGTGCTTGACTTTCCCAATCGTTTGAATTTCCCGAACCATGCTCACACTTCCATTTTGTATGCCAGTAAACAAAAGCTTCTTCACGGCGTACACTCTGTCGGGACCCACTGTAGCCTTGTATATCGTTCCGTGTGCTCCCTTCCCAATTATATACTTATCGTTCAGATTCTCTGTGGTTTCCAATACTTTAATCAGCAAGGAAGAATCACCCTCTTGAGCATAAACTGGAATATCTTGTTTAGAATTTTTGTGGGATAGAAAAACCAAGGCGGGCACAATGATTAAACACATCACAAATAACAGTGCCCCAAGAACTATCGTCACCATTTCCAAATTACTGAGGGTACCCTTTCTAGTTAAGCCATGCTCCAGGCAGTCGATACAAAGGCCAACGTTCCCCAAAAATGAAGTGGGAGACGAGTTCAAGAACCTTATCAGCGAAGTTGGTATGGCACCAGAAAACATGTTGTGAGAAATGTTGATGAAAGTCAATGATTGGATTGGCGAAAGAACTTGCAAGTTTCCGGACAGATTGTTATTAGACAAATCCAATTCCTCTAGGACTGTTAGTTTTCCAAGATCCCGGGGGAGTTGACCGCTTAGTTTGTTACTGCTAAGATTTAATGTCCTTAGAAACTGCCCTGGTCCCACCGGAGGAATGTGTCCTGTTAGCGAATTTCCACCTAGTTGCAAATTTAAGAGACTTTTGGATTGAAACAGTGAGGTTGGAATACCTCCTGAGAGTCTGTTCTCACCCAGATTCAATTTGGACAGTACTGACAAGCTCCCTAAAGTGAAAGGAATAGATCCATTCAACAAATTGTGACTCAAATCAATTTGTGACAGTTCATGGCACTTTGACAGCTCATATGGGATTACACTGTTAAGGGAATTGTGGGAAAGGTTCACAAGTTGGAGCTTCACGATGCTCCCCATCTCAGGTGGTATAATCCCAGAGAGATTATTTGAAGACAAGTCAATGACAGTAATGTTCCTTTGGTTTCCAAGGGTTGGAGGTATTGGTCCAATGATGTTATTGCCACTGAGGTCGAAATACAGAAGGTTTTGATGCTTGACAAAGTTTGGGAGCAAACCTGTGAGGTTATTCTGTTTAAGGATTAGCCTTTCCAAAGTGGGACAGTTCCCCAAATCAGAAGGGACACTGCCTTCCAGATAGTTGTGACCCAATATCAGTCTCTTCAGTTTCTTGTGGAAGCATAAGTTTGGTGAAATGTGACCGGCGAACATGTTATTGGTGAAATCAAGAACCGTTAAACTGCTTTTCGTCCCTAAACCTTGAGGAATAACTCCCCTGAAGTGATTTTCAAACAAAGATATACTCTCTAAATGCCTGAGTTCGATCAATTCACTGGGCAGTTCACCTGAAAGATTGTTTTGGTACAACTGGATACTTTTAAGGGTTTGAATTTTCCAAACGCCGATTGGAACCTCACCAGACAGATTATTGGTGTACAAATAGAGAACTTGCAGCTGGCTTAGCTTCCCTAATTCCACTGGAATTTCACCCTCCAGTTGATTTTCATGGAGTTGCAAATTAATCAAGGAGCTACACTTTCCTATCTCAGGTGGTATTCTTCCCGAAAAATGGTTTTTATAAAGGTAAAGTGTTTCTAAGTTAGTGAACTGCCCGAAGAAAGAAGGTATAGGACCGGTCAGCGCACAAGAAAAGGCACCGAATTCCCTTAAGTTACTGCAATTTCCCAATCCGGGCATGAGTCCTCCCGTGAAACGGTTATCTGACAATGAGATAGTTTCTATCTGTTTGCAACTAACAAAGTCCAAACCAATGCTTCCTTCTAAACTGTTATTGCGCACATCAAAGTAAACAATGTGCTCAAGTTTGTTCAAACTCACAGGCAAAGTCCCCACAAGATTGTTATCATTCAAATAAAGTTCTCTAAGTGTAGTAATGTTTCCCAGTGAGGAAGGAATCGACCCAGAGAATCGATTGCCACTAAGCCACAGAACTTTAAGTTCAGTCATGTTCCCAATACCAGAGGGAATGGAGCCATTTAGTCTATTGTCATGCACATAAAGAGTCTCCAAGTGTGGAATGGAAAGTAAAGAATCCGGGAACAGGCCTATCAGAGAATTAGAGAACAAGCTTAGGTACCCTAAATTACCCAAAGCTCCAAGGGTACCGGGGATATTACCTGCAAATCCATTGTTGGATAGTTCTATGTGTTGAAGAAGACTGCAATTGGCTAGCTGGGAAGGGATTGGGCCTGAAAAATCATTGTCACCCAAGTCAAGGAATCTCAGATGCTTCAAATGTGAGATTTCAGGTCCTAATTCCCCTGAGATTCCATGGGAAGAGAGGTCTAGAGTGTCCACAAGATTTCTGCTGTCACATTTCACGCCCAGCCATGAACAAGGAGTGAGGTCTGAAGCATTCCAGCTCCTGTTAATGGCGGAAGGGATAGAGATCCAATGCTTGGTGAGCGAGAGAAGAGTTTTGCCATCGGAATTCAAAGCAAAAGCAGCACAGATCGATGCAGCGCAGTATATGAACAGCAACAAGACTGTGTTTTTCGAAGAAATCTTCATGTCAGCTCCCACTGTAAAGAAGAGTGAGGGGAAAAAAGAGCAAACTTTTCAGGGAAAGAGTCTTCAACTCTTGCAGATTGCAAGAAGGATTCAGCTGTTAATTAAGAAGAGAAAATCCAAAAAGAGAAAACTTTTTGGGGAAAAGATTGGATTCAAAGGTTGAGGACCATAATAGTCGAAAGTGGAATGTGGGTATGGCTGCGGCGGCGGCGGCGCATGGTCTTCTTGGTCGGTTGGGGATGGAAGTGGAGGAGGAGGAGGAGGGTGATGTGGTCCGCATATATTGTCTTATCACACTGTAATGAGGGGAAAAAGCAGATGATGCTTTGGCGGCATTAGCTTAGACTCGCCATTGACCCCCTCTTTCGTTGTCGCACGCCCGAGCAGGAGAAAGCACTCACAAGTTACCCCAATTGCAATTAGGGGTGGACGCCTATGAGGTTCCGTGATACTAATTGACTTATTATGGATCGCTTTTGTTTAAACGGTTCGGTATCGGTACATAATAAACTTTAAAATTATTCGGTACGATTCTATTTTGAAACAGAACGATACAATTTCAAATATCAGTGCTCAACCCGTGCCAAAAAAAATGAACGTACATTATTCAAAGGATATTGAATTTCATGTACTCCTATAAATTTGCATAAAATAGCACACCCTTTGTTAAATAGAAGTATTGATTTATGATTTTAAAAGATCATAAACATAAAAAAATAAAAGAAAGAATTAATAAAAAATAATGAAAGAATTTAAAAATTAATATTAATATACAAAGACTCCATAATTATTTGAGATA